TGCTCTGCATAAACACCAAAGCTGATGTGACAGCAAAAGAGATGTTTTGGGGGAAATAATAATAATAATAATAATAATAATAATAATAATAATTGTCTTTTCATGAAGGAGCTAAAGGAAAATTTCAGATTAATTTCAAAGGAATAATCCAATAATGAAAAATGCACAATAAATCATACCAAACATATTTATTCACCATCTTAAATTCCTATATTTTGCTTGTTTGCTTATGTATTTATTTATTTGCCTCGTTGAAGCTTGACAATACCTGAGCATTCGATGCTTTCATTGTATAGAAAAGAGAACAGTTATATAAAATATAAAAACAACAGACAGACACACACACACACACTCACTCACTCACTCACACTCACACACACTTGTAAGAAATTATTTTTCAAAAATTGTAAATAAAACAGATTACTGGAGTATGTTTTTCAAGAAAATATGTATATTTTTTCTACTTCAAAATGTAACATTTATCTCAATGTAATTAATTGTGAAATTTGCAAGGAATTCTATAGATCGATTGATTATTTCAGTGTCGCTTCTAACCAGTTAAACTAAAGAAATGCTACCTTGGCAACTAGCTGAACTAAAATGTTCATTATATTTCATTTCAGTTACTATTTAATTCTATTTTTTTAGGTTTTAGTTTTAGGATTAATTAACTATATGTAACCCTGACCTGTTTCCCTTGCGTAAAAAATGGACACTTTAGCCTACTTTTAAAACTTTAAAAGAGTACTTTAAAATAATATAATTTAAAAGATACTCAATTGCATATTATTTGCAGTTAAATGATTGTTTAAACTGATATTATTTGCAGTTAGCTGAACTTCACAGTGCTTTTTTTGCCGTGTAAACCTGAAGTACATCTTTATATGCAATTCTGTAATTATTTCTATTGTCTTTTCAATATGATTAAAGGACTGCTGAATATACTGACAAGCATTTATGGAAATTCTTACTCTACTCACAACTGCATGTCATATTTAAATATATTTGCAATTACACATTTTTAATGATGAATTTGCAATTAAGTGCATTGAATTATATATTTAAACTAGACTTAAAATTATAAGCAAGTATTTTACATGTTCTTTAGTAGTCAACATTAAAACAAGTGTGCATTTGGAAAAGCACGACAAAAGAATACAAGATTTAAAATGTACTTTAAAGTAAATCTTAATTTGAAAGTATTAGTGTGCGCTTTTTAAAAGTGTACTTACTGTAATATACAGTAGACTATGTTAATGGCTGTGTTTCTTACCGTAAGTGGCCTTCATTAATATTATCTGCAAGAACAGTTTTTTTTACAAGTGCATGTTTAATACTTTTTTCATAAGGGTTACTATGAGTCTCAACACGAACTTCTACAGTTTTATCTTCTGCGGTTCAATCTGCCAGTCATTTCCAGAAAACGTCTCTCTATCCTTGCTTGCCCTTCTGTAAAACCGCAGTAAAGCTGCAGCATTCAGCGCGGTGTTGTTGATATCATGTGGTTTCGCTCAACCCTGTCAACGACGTCTACCTCTTCAAAATGCCATTTGCCACTTTTTCCCATCTAAATAAACGACGCCTACTAAACATCAGTGCATAAAGTAAATCTGCGTTCAAACTGTGTGTCATCGGATCATCAGGCGTCTTCATTTGAGCACAATTTCAAGGTGTTCTCTCCAAAGGTTAGCTGGGATGAAGCCTGAGCGGATAATACTTTGGGAGAGCCGCAAGCACACATGGCATTATTGGCGTTAAGGATGAACATGTTTACCATGGATCTAATCTGTTCCTTATTGCTTAATTTAAAAGCAATTGCCTCAGACCTCGAGCAGATGAAGTTCATTATTTGGCCGCGTGTCGTCGGGCGGAAGCGTTATTCCTCTTTAGCCTGATGGATTTTGTGCTGATTGTTTTTTGATGTGCTGCTTTTTGAATATTTCAAACTCCTTAAAGAGCAGAAAACGGTGCCTGCAGTGCCATCTGTTCCTGCGCCGCTTCTAATCAATCATCGTTCGGTTTAGCTCTGGCGACGGAAACACCTCTCACCGTCTCCCTAAACAAACAATTAACTGTGCTTCTCAAACATTCAGAGGTTTTAATAGTGTCTTTTGCAACAGAACAACAATTCAAGGTCACTGCAACACAAGCTTGAGTGTTTATTTTCTCTCTCTGTAATTAGAAACGTATGGATATGGTATCTCTGAGCCGATAATGATAACCGATAATCAACAGCTTGCCATTTTGAAGCTCAACTATTTGACATTTGTGCTCTAACCAGCTGGATAATCAGCTGATTAATTAAAAAAGACCCATCGTTTGAAAGTTTACAATGTGTAAAAGTGATCTGACTGACAAATTAGTTGAACTTTTTTTAGCATAATGCTTTATAAGAGCAGAACGAGATGTGAACAAACACAAAGATGTCCGTCTGACACATATGACTAACATTTAAACATAATAATAATAATAATAATAATAATAAATAAAATAATAATAAAAAACTATATGAACACAAACACACACACACACAGAAATTATATATATATATATATATATATATATATATATATATATATATATATATATATATATATATATATATATATATATATATATATATATATATATATATATATATATATATATATATATATTTTTTTGTAAAGCAAAATAAAATACACATACACACAAACAAAAATGACAAACAACAAAGCTAAAATGCCAACTAAAATGAAAATAAAAACGGAAATATAAACAAAAACGGATTAAAATATTAATTAAAGCTATAATAGTATCTTAATGATACTAAAATAACAATGAAAAAATATACTGTATCTATTGTATATATCTGTTAAAAAGAGTATCTTGGTATAACAGTAATTACATTGTTCACATATACAGTATGTTCAATTACATTTTGTGCACCTCTGGCTGTAATTCTTTGTCTGTAGAATGTGTAGGTTGGGGATGCAATGGTATTTAATTTCTGACGGTTGTCATGCTAAGGCCAATAAATAAGAGATAATACAATTATTTGTTATTTCATCTAAAAAACAAACAAAACAAAAAACATTTTAAATGCTACAAGTGAATTTATTCATAATTTTTTAAAATAAATGTTGATTCTTAATATTTTTATTTATATTATTATTATAATTTTATATTATTATTATAATTGTATAATTATTATATTATAATTATTAAGAACATACAGCCAGTGCGGATTCCTTTATTGGAAAGTGATGTTACTTATTGATCTACGCACCCAAAACTAAGGTTGAGCGCAGTGATGCTTATTTATTTTTTCTTAATAAAATCTTAATTTTCAGAAGCAGTAGCATCTGCTCTTTCTCACTTTCAAAAGTGAAGGCTGGAATGCACTACACGTCTCTCAAAATCTGAACAGATTTTAAACACTGTTAGGCATCACACACTTGTCAACTTAGTAAATATTTACAGAGGAAAAACTGGGCATGGACTGAGGATCACACACACTGAAGGTGTCTTTACTCAGCTGAGTTAATGCTGATCTGTGCCTGCTCAATATTCTGTGTTCACACACAATGCCACATAAAAGACAGACTAAAGTATGCCTGCTCTGACCCACCTCAAGCTCTTGTCTCAAAGTACTGTATAAAGCTGCCTTTTCTGAGTAAATGCATTCATGCCACCTGTGAGCAGCATTAAACAGTTTGTGTTTAGACACCTACATGCCTCTTCAGAAGTGCTTCTGTGCCACCTGTGCAGTGTGTGTGCTAAAATCAGCTGGTGTTTGCTATCCTACGACTGGATGAAATCAGAGTCGGTGTCCATCATTCGCTATGATATGACGACATCAAAAATGGTGTTGTGCATTACAGCCTTGAGTCAACTTACTGCTGAAGAGAAAAGAGAGTGAGGAAGAGCAACAGTGTGTGTGTGTGTGTGTGTGTGTGTGAGAGTGTGTGTGTGTGTGTGTGAGAGAGAGAGAGAGAGCGAGAGTGTGTGTGTGTGTGTGTGAGAGAGAGAGAGAGAGCGAGAGTGTGTGTGTGTGTGTGTGAGAGAGAGAGAGAGAGCGAGAGTGTGTGTGTGTGTGTGTGAGAGAGAGAGAGAGAGCGAGAGTGTGTGTGTGTGTGTGTGAGAGAGAGAGAGAGAGCGAGAGTGTGTGTGTGTGTGTGTGAGAGAGAGAGAGAGAGCGAGAGTGTGTGTGTGTGTGTGTGAGAGAGAGAGAGAGAGCGAGAGTGTGTGTGTGTGTGTGTGAGAGAGAGAGAGAGAGCGAGAGTGTGTGTGTGTGTGTGTGAGAGAGAGAGAGAGAGCGAGAGTGTGTGTGTGTGTGTGTGTGTGAGTGTGTGTGAGAGAGTGTGTGTGTGTGAGTGTGAGAGAGTGTGTGTGTGTGTGTGTGTGTGTGTGTACAGTAAGTATATAGTCTGTTGCACTGTGTTTCAGAGAAAAGCACATCACTTAAGATGTCTTGGTTTACAGTCTCTGCATGTCTAGTGAGTTTAACATGTATTTTTGAAAACACAAGTACTAGTTTTGCTTTATCTCTACATTTGTATAATTGTCAACAATTTTGTGGACGGATGACTGCACTAGATTTATAACGAAATGTGTCTGGAAACATGTTGTCACAGAAACTTAAAAGGCTTCCCTGCAGTTTTCCACCAGAAATGAATGAATGACATTGCAATTGTATTACAATAATAATGTACCATTACTACTACTATTATATTATTATACTACTATTTATTGTTATCATCATCATTATATTATTAATATTATGTATTATTACTTTCATTATGGTTAAATCTAAATTAACTTCAGCTTTTGTTCACATTTTATGCCCTGAATGTTGTGCCAATATTTCCTTGTGGTATTGAATATCAATATTTTTTAGGACATCACATTTACACATTTCAGTATCATTACAACACTAGTCACCACAGCATTATAATCTACAGATTTGATCTTAAATGCAAGAAAGTCTAAACACTCTTATTATTGTTCTGTATGAGCAGATGGAGCTGATTCCAGATCCGGATCCTGATGAAGAAGGGACTAAAATAAGTGTGAGTATGTGATCTATGGCTTTATGATACAGTAAATGATTACATGTCTATGATTTTTAGGTGAACGATCCCTTTAATAAAGCTGTTCAGTACAGGCGATTTGTAATCGTTAACCCAGTAAAGCCTGACATCTGAAATATATATCAGATTTTTTTTTGCACAGTTTACTTAACCTTTAGACAAAATCTAAAGGAAAAGTATCATATTTGAAGCATCAACCTTTTATAGGTAAAATTGTCTGATTTAATAAGAATACAGAGTGCAAAACAGACTCAAACTGAGCAAAACTATGCAATTTGGTGCAGATGCTGACATTTATATGAGGAAATGCTGATGATTGTAATGTAAATATTGCAGATTCTCACATAAAATTATCTAAATATCAGCGGTCGCTCTATATCTCCAGTAATGTGTCTCAGTAAGATGAGATTGAAATGCTCCAAACATATAATGCAGTGATTGAGAGCTGAAGAAATAAAGGCTCCTCAGAAGATGTGAGATGTTCTGGAGGCTTGTGAAGATCATTCCTCCGCTGAGGAACAGTGAAAGTAAAGCTTCTGGAAACAAACGCTCCTCAAAAGATCCTGAGGATCAGATTTGAGACTCTAAAACATGATTGATGGAGAATCAAGTAAAGCTGAGCTGCTTCAGTCCAGTAAGTGTTCATCTGGAGATATTACTGACGTTATTCTGACCTTTACTTGATCAAAATCAG